CACTTTGGCCTCCCGGGCACCAGACTGACAAGCTACAAAGGGGAAACCCATCCTTTCTCTGTGCCGCCTTCTATAAAGGGAGGAAAACAGCTCAACTATCCTTTTTGTCCCTCTCAGGATCTTTTGTCCTGAATCCTTCCGTACCCACGACTTTAAGACATGTACTGTTTGCAGAAACCTGTGAAGTTTGCCTTTCTGGGGAGGCTAGCCTCAGCCAAGGAATGCAGGGCTTGAGAAAGGATGAAGCAATGAATGATGGAGCAAGACTTCCGTGAGCCTGCGTTTTTTTTTCCAGTGACTTGCTCCGCTCACGGAGGCGGGGTGGGGTTGGGCTGGATCTAAAATTGGGTCTACACCATTCAATAATGAACACTAGCCCTTCCTGGCTAAGATCCTTGACACAGATTTATACAGGTTTAACTTTCAAGATGGGTGAGTTCAGCTACATTGAAACAGGGACTGATGGAAATTTGATGCCTAAAGTCAATGTGAGCTCTTTCCAGTGCATCTCAAGATCTTATTGAATTTTACACACGTCACTCTGATTTGTTGCTTTAGCGTTCCCAAGCAGTATTCTCACTATTCTCTCAATATCAAATAAGATCCTTACCCAGCAACGAACTTGGTAAATTGACAAAGCAAGATAGTAGTAGAAAGTGAAGTAAAATCCTTGTGATGTTCTTTGGAAAAGATCATTTTCCCATGTGGTCTTTGGAAATAAGAGTACTGGAGGGGTCAGTGCCTGAAAAGATGCCAGATTTAATGCAGCCACCAGGATAGGGAATTTAAACACAGAAGTACTTCCCATCTGATACCCAGCCCTGTAGCTATGTCACCTTCTAGCTGGATGTCAGTTGGTCAAGGGGACTAAAAGATCTCACCATCTTCACGACTGCCCACGAACACTAGTTTGAGAATCTTTGGGCTAGACTGTTTAAAGGAGCAAATTTCCTTGCAGAAAGTTCTCCTAAATCCAGATAACTTAGAAAACTGGTAATGAAAGGCCTATTTTGAGTTCACAAACTCAGTGTCTTCTTGCTTTGCTTTTGACTTATGAGTTCTGGGGTGCACAAGCTCCATTATGCTTCTCACTTATGTATAATAAGGGGTAGGACTCTTCCAGATTTCTGGAGCCTTCTGAAATTTGCTTGAAGCCTAGAGGAATGGAGATGGACTGATGAGCACTGAGTGCACTGCCCTCTTCAAGATAGCACATAAATTAACTGTGGGAACAGTAGAACTAATTGCCTAGAATACTTGAGTGACAGCTGGAAATGCTTATGATGTGTAGTTTAACAAGTTAAGCAGGATTATTTAATTTATAAAGCATTTTATATGTCAAAGCACTTCATGTGTGCTAAATTGCTTCAGTCGTGTCTGACTCTGTGACCCTACGGATTGTAGCCTGCTAGGCTCCTCTGTCCCTAGGATTCTCCAGGCAAGAATACTGGAGTGGGTTTCCATGCCTTCCTCCAGACCAAGGGATCAAACCTGCGTCTCTTGTGTCTCCTGCATTGGCAGAAGGGTTTCTTTACAAGTCCCGAGCACTTTATACCTATGATCTAGTATGATCCTCCGAACAGGCATTTCAGAAAGGTGAGTAGATGATGCCCACTTACAGATGAGGAAAGAGACTTGTCACAGCACTATGACAGCACCTGGGTCGCAACCCATGAACCCAGGGCTCTTTCCTGAAGCAGGAAACTGGCTTCAATTCTAGCTTTGCTTCAACCTTGGAAAGTAATATAAGTACATGCAAGAAAAAGGCAAAAGCTATTTAAGCATTTAGGTTGAAAATGTGATAGGAAAGCAAAGTTGATACAACAAATAACCTAAAGACTTACATGGTACTAAATACTTTAAAAGGCCTGGGTGTCTTTTAAAGAAATAAAAGTTATGCTATTTGGAAAAGCAAATAGGTGGAATTAAAGAGGACAATTAATTTTAAAAGATGAAAATAAAACCTCGTAATATCCATTGAAAGCAATACAGTAACAGACATGAAGTTCTTCCTTTTAGGGGGAAAAAAACACATAAAAATTTTTTTCTGAAATTTGTATCACTTCTCAGGTCACAGCTGAGATGATAACATTCAACTTGCACAAAGATAAAACCATCACACTTATTCAAACGCAAATAAATCTTTGGCCCATCACCAAATTCCAGAAACTAAGAAAAGCAGTATTTTTCACTATTGTTTTAGCATTCTGTAGTAGAAGCCACTCTTACGAGTTTAACTGTCTCCTTTCTCTTACCTCTTTTCAAATCATTTAAAATGAGAGGCCAGAACTGAAAGAAAAAGAAGCTGGAATGATAAAATTCAGTATTTTGCCCCTTGCACCAAAACCAATTGTCCATTAAAAAAAAAAAGTTTCACATTGGTGCCTGACAAGGAAAGTTTCTATCATTAAGGAAACAGAATTATAAACTACCCACCCCCACCCCAATACTGTCATGTTCTGTGTAGACACACACATTATATCTATAACTTAAGAGAACTCTGAAAGGATCTGCTTGGTTTCCACAGAGAGAAAGAAAAGCAAAACAGAATAAAGCAAAAATATACCACTAGGAGAGTAAACCTAGATGATACACTTTTATAGTGCTATCATTTATAGGAGAATTTTGCACATATTACCTCTTAGTGTTGACCTACATGTGAGGCAGGTAGAGAAAATAATTACTATCCTTACCTTGTAGAAGGAAGAATGAGACTCAAAGAGGTTAGTGACTTACCCAAAGTCAAAGGATTAGTAACTGGTTTTGCTGGCACTAAAAACCAAGTCTTTATCTTCCAGTCCGGCACTTGCTGTGGTACTGCTAAATGCCCAGGCAATGCAGACAAGACTGGAGGGCTTGGTGGTTTTCTAACATGTGACAGTCAACAACATTCTCCTTTCTTTGTCCCCTCAGTCACAGGAGAGACAATGGTGTCTTAACTTTAGTGGGGGACTTTGGGGGAGAAGCCTATTAATAGGGCTCTAAAAATAGAAAACATTCTATAAACTGGTGGGATTTACCAGGGGGGTCCAGTGGTTAGGACTCCACGCTTTTGCTGCCAAGGGCATGGGTCTGATTCTCAGTTGGGGAACTAAGATCCTGCAAACCGTGTAGCAAGGCCAAGAAACAAAAACAAACTCCAAAACCAAAATCTGCTAACAGTTACAGGGAAGCCTGGTGTGCTGCAGTCCATGAAATCACAAAGAGCTGGACACGATTTAGCAACTAAACAACAGAAGGATTATTGTCAACACCAGCTCTTTTGAGGGAAAAGCATTTCAGTGCTTACTTTTACTGAACAAGAAGGACATTCCTATGGGCTTACACTCTTGTAGGGAAACCCCAGAAAAGTAAAGGCGGCACTCTGAGACTTTTGTCAATTAGTTTAATATACGTCCATAGGTAGTTCATATTAATGCTTAAATTACAAAATTAGCTGCCATGGTCCAAAATGTGTGGGATTTTAAGAAAGCTTTTATTAATCAAAAGATAGCTAAGCATATCAACTTTGATTTCTAAAATGCAGGTCAAGTGTTTGTAAAACAAGGCTAATTTGAGAAATATATAGCATTAAAGTAATTCAACTTTATTTTATTTTTGTTATCTTTAATAACTTAATTTCATGAACTGTTAAAAAAAATATTATATTTGCTTCTCCCAGCTTACACATTTCTGCATTGACCTGGAGAAAAACCCATGTGGAGAGTTTCCATGCAGTTACAAAGGCAGCAGCACATGCTGTTTTCACAGCAACTTGTTATTGCCTCGGAACACACTGGCACATAAAGCATCAACAAAAAATACCCACCCACCCCTCTCCCACAAAAAACCCAACCCTTTCCCAGCCCCAGAAAAAATTACCTGGTACAAGCAGTGACTTAAAAAAATGCTTTCTTAGTAGGAAGCATTTATAAAATGCAGAGATCTGAACAAGCTAAATGCTCGTGCAGAACAGATGGGCCTCTCCCCCAAGAGTTCCTTCCTCAAGAGGCAGGAAGAACTCTCTATAGTTTAGGAAAACTCATGTTAAAAAGTATATATATGCATATTCATGGCTACTTCTTTGAAGAAATATACCCAGCCTCAACTGTGGAAGAGATAAAAGCAGAAGGAGAAGCATAGGGACACAGCCATAACAGAGTACAGAGCTTCTCCATGAACATCCGACAGGTTGCAGCAACCAAGGAGAACGTTTGTTGACTTCACGCAGACCACTGACCTCACCTAAGCGAAGCAGGTAATTTTTCATGCATTTGTTACTCAAGAAAACATACAGCCACTTAAAATACAGCATTCACATTGTCATGAGCTCATTGTATCAGGTAAGGAGAAAACCGTGCTCTTATCTTCCTATCCCTAGAAGTTTCCGTGTACATATAAGTATCCTAAAGCCTACAGATATCCTATGATACTGTCATAAGCACCTCCCACCTATAAACATATACTGAACTAGACTGTTGAGTCCCTGAAATTTCAATACCACATACAGTGTTCTAAATTTTATTTTTTTCACAAGTTTAATGTAGACACAGAAGAGAACACCAAGAAATGTTTATTGTGTAATTCCAATTGTTATTTGTGGAACTGCAGTTTAGAGTCAATCTTCATAGCCATTTCAACTGCCTAGCTTAAACAAAAAAGCAACAATCTAATTATATATCTATAAATTTCATGATATTTCTTCAAATATCAAGCACTAAAAGTACTGATGATTCATGTTATAATTTTTTAAATATTTTAAAACTGCACAGATTTCATATATCATTCCTTTTATAAAATAATCAAAATAATTTGATTATCTGGAAGAAAATGACTGAAACAGACTCCTTCCAATGTATCTATAACCTCTGTAAAACTCCAAGCCAAAACAGAACAGGTGATGAAATAAGGATTTCTCAGTCACTGGGAAACTTTAAGATGAGAAATGAACTGGTAGCTTTTGTTTCCTGTGAATTTTGAACTTAAAGGTGGCATCAGGACTTAGCTCTCTGGGATGGCTATTACATGGCTTTCACTTTGATTTGTTTCATCTTCATTTGCTTCTTCTCCAATTTCTTTTGCTCACGCCTCAAAGCAGCTTCCTAAAAAGAAAGAGGGAATCCAAACTAAGATTTAAGTACTTGTTAAAAAAAAAATCAGAACTGAATACTGCCTATACTGCTTAGGCTAACACCACAAATAACATTTCAGAAGATAGTTAAAAGAATTGCTAATACGTATGTTGGTTAATGAAAATTACCTTGAAGTAAAGTGAAAGTGAAGTCACTCAGTTATGTCTGACTCTTTGCGACCCCACGGACTGACTACAGCCCACCAGGCCCCTCCGTCCGTGGGATTTTCCAGGCGAGAATACTGGAGTGGGTTGCCATTTCCTTGAAGTAAAGGTAACTAAAATCTCTAGGGTGAAATTAGACACTACACTTATGCAGACTTTGTTACTGATTTTTCCCAAATATAAGAAACAGTAGCCCAACTTTCATCATAACGTATGTATCTACAAAAGCTTTGTATTTCAGTTCAGAAAACCTTAAGATCTTGTTTGATCAGGTTATTAATTATAAATCTCTTCTTATTGGCATAGCCTTTACACCGGAGCCCAACACCTTTCAATCCATATCACATGTATACATGAGCCATTCAAGCCAGAAACTCATTACAGGATTTTTTTTTGGTGGGGGGAGAGGGGGCAAGTCCTTTCCCATTTAATTCATTGGATCTTCTCACAAGATACCTAGACCTAGATATTGCAAAGTGGTGGTTCTAAAAAATGACATGGTTTATACCTACAAGCAACTTACAATCTGACTGAAGTTCTGGGCCCCCCTTTATCTTAAGCCTATTGTAGTTTCAGACCCTAGAAATATTTGGAGAACTTTTTTTTTCATAGAAAAATGAAAGGCATTATCTATTAATGAGTCCATGTAGATTCTTCTTGTGTGTCTATTAAAAAGTCAATTATATTTATAAAGAAGATTGCACAAACACAGAGCAGTATTTTCAGGGGAAAAATAACCATCAACTAAACCAAACCAAATCAAACAGAAAATGATAAGAAAAGATAGGATGAGAGGAGGCCTGTGCTCTTCTGGTCACTTACTGGCAACTCAAGTACCACACGAGGGCTCACTTTTTCTTGGCAGCTTGCCTCTTCTACTTCCAAGTATTTTCTTCAATCCTTGAGGTTATTCTCATTAAAATTCACATTTCCCAGGACTCTGTTTTTCTCATTTTTTGACTAGCCATTTACAAGGTTTATAATTTTACAGCTGGACTATGGCATCTTACTTCACAAAATATGAGAACATGCTAATGTTTGAAACACAACATACTACAACCTAAAAACAGACATTTCTCCAAAGAGGACATACAGATGGCCAACAAACACATGAAAAGATGCTCAACATCACTCATTATTAGAGAAATACAAATCAAAACTACAATGAAGTATCACCTCACACTGGTCAAAATGGCCATCATGAAAAAACCTACAAACAATAAATGCTGGAGAGGGTGTGGAGAAAAGGGAACCCTCACGTACTATTGGTGGGAATGTAGATTGATACAGTCACTATGGAGAACAGTATGGACATTCCTTAAAAATCTAGGAATAAAACCACCACATGACCCAGCAATCCCACTCCTGGACATATACCCTGAGAAAACCATAACTGAAAAAAAAAAATATGTACCCCAGTGTTCACTGCAGCAGTATTTACAATAGCTAGTACATGGAGGCAACCTAGATGTCCATTAACAGATGAATGGATAAAGAAATTATGGTACATATATACAATGGAATATTACTCAGCCATAAGAATGAAAGCATTTGAGTCAGTTCTAGTGAGGTACATGAACCTAGAGCCTGTTATACAGAGAGAAGTCAGAAAAAACAAAATTTCATATATTAACACACATATATGGAATCTAGAAATATAGTGCTGACAAACCTATTTTCATGGCTGGAATAGAGACACAGACAGAGACAGCAGGCTTTGGACACACCCGGGTAAGGGGGGGTGGGGGCAGGTGAGAGAGTAGCACAGAAACACGTGCATTGTCGGACGTAGAACAGACAGCTAGTGGGAAGCAGCTGTGTAATATAGGGAGCTGAAGGGGGGGTTCGATGACATCCTGGAGGGGTGGGATGGGGTGAGGGAGGCTCCGGAGGGAGGGGACACATGTGTACTTCTGGCTGATTCATGCTGTTGTGTGGAAGTAACCAACATGATATTGTAAAACAATTACCCTCCAATTAAACATAAATTTTTAAAAAAATCCTAAAACAAAAGCAACTTTTAAGTTTGAGATTCTGTGTACAAAACAGAAAACAAAATACAAATAAAAAAATATTAGAATTCTCTAATCTATAATCAAAATAGAAATTTTACAGAACAAGTTTATTTGGACCACAGGTGCATGTGTCGGCTTCTATTAAAATTCCTAATTTCTTTCTACCTCAGTACGTGTTTGGCCTGAAACATGATAGTGGAACTTTCAGAAAGGCCTTGTGCTGGGAACAGAATAATTCATATCATTCACCAGGATCAAGACTCAATCTAACATGGTTTGAACAAGGAAGATTATTCCTCCTTTTTTTTTTTATAGTGATAACTGTCCCAAATGCTAAGAAAATGCTAAGCTTTTAGCCTGTGCACATTCCTACACAGAATTGCATTTAACAGCCAATATGGCGCCAAAAGGCATCCCCTTATAAATGTTTTACCCCAGAAATAAGAAAAGTCTGTCTTACCTCCAGCCTGCGCTGCTTCTCAGGATCCTCCTCATTCATGATTCGCTCCTTCTCGGCTCTCTTCTTCTCCTCCCGCCGAGACTGGGCCGCTTCCTGTCTCTGCACATGTGTCAGCTTCAAGAAGTTCTCCTCCACTCGAGCTCGGTTCTTGTCTGCTTTTTGTTTGCCCTTTCCCCAGGAAACAAAGCAATTCATCAGAAATCCATTTCAGTCCAGCAGAAACAAAATCCCATTCAGTCTTCTTTCATAAAACCACTCCCACTGAGCAGTTTCAAGCCAGCAAGCAAAGATAAAATCATTGCAGTAAGCAAAAGATGAGCCCCTCCTCCCCACTGCCCCTCACCAGGGGGAGGGAAACAACAAAAAGAGGCTCCAACTTATAATAAAAATAAAGTCTTACTTCTCTGTTGAGTCGGAACTTTTTGGCTTTATCAATAGAATAAATCACCATATTCATCAGGGGTAGTAAAGCCTCCATATCCTTTGGGTAAGTGTTACCTGAGCCAGGCACTGGAAAACAAGACCATTTTCTCATTGAGTTAATGGCAGCACTCAGACTTCTGGTATTAACTTTTTATTTTTACATTAATAGGCTCCTTTCTCCAAGTTTCTTAGCTAAAATGCAGCAGCAAATAGAAATTAAAATATATACAAGGATCTCTTATTGAAGAAACCTAATACCAAGATGCTGGCATGGGCTTAGTTTTAATGTAGTTTTTTACTCCTATCTTTTAGAAAGAAGCCATACTCTCCTTAAAAGCATCTCACAGAAAACAAAGAACTCAGGAAGCAGAACACTTACCATTAAATGTAAACAGTAGTGTCCTCTTAGTGTCAGGCAGCTTTAAAGGCTGACCCTCCCTGTCATAAAAGAAAAGGTTATTTAGAAAGAACATAAAAGAGAGACTTTCCATGCACATAAGTCACACAATTCACTTAGATGAACAGATACCTGCAAATAATCAGCACAGTATTTGTCTTGGCATCCCCAAGTCAAATACAATCTCAGAGACCGAAGGAGCTTTACAGGTCATCTGGTCCTCTCGTCTATCTGATGGATGCATTCCCAAGTGATCTTTATCCTATCTTTGAGCACCTCCAGAGATGTCCCCTCCAGGCAGGATATATTTCATCTCACCGGGAGCCAGAAATGAGCCTATATTTAAGTATGAGGCCCATATTTTAAAACCTTTTTATTTTGGTGGATTTTTAAGTTTTATTTCCAACTCTTTATCTATCTTCCTATAATGAAGGCTATTGTTTTTGAGTCAAGATCAGAATAAATTTAGAAATAATCTACTGTAGCATATAATAATTCAGTTCTGACTCACCAAAGATTCCTCTTGTAATCTTTGACTTTCAACCTTCCATACCCTCACCCCATATAAGATGCTCCATGAATCCGCAATGGATACTTTGCCCACAGTATTATTACTCAGCTGAGCAAGGTAAGGATGATGTAATGCTATCTAGAGGCATAAGCAATTTTAATTATCTTGGTGATTTTGACACAAAACTAAAATCCAAACTGGCTTTTTTAACTGTACTCAACTCCACAGTCCTTAGCCAAAAATTGAGGTCAGAACCAATTCTACAACAAGGGTAAACTTATAATGTGCTCTCCTGAGACCGGGTGTGAAATCAAACAACTAATTTAAGTCCTAAATATGTATGTCTGAACAATGTTTTTATAAAGCCAGAAACTTTACAAGCATTAAGGGTGTCTGATAATGTACTAGCAAGAATATATTCACCCAACCATTAAAGAAGGAAGCCTGAAAAGGCCATGAATTACAAAATGCTTACATTTGCAATCAATCAAACACAAGTCAGACATCACAGATACACATCAGAAATTTAAAAAAAAAGACCCTAGACTATAAAAGACAGAAATTACTAGTTGTACTTTCTTAGTACCAGCCAGTCTGTAAGATTCTCCTTTACCTCACTGAGGGGGTGATGCATACATGCAGTGACACATGCAAACAGAGGGGGCTTATTTGATTGTTTCCCATAGGTTTTCAATTACCTTCACGATGCATGCAGTCAAAGCAAAGGAAAACTCATTTGGGAAGAAGGGTAATTGCAGAAGCACCTTGCAGGTATTTCAACACAGAAAGCTAGTGAAGAAAACTGATCAATATTTTTATCTCATACGTACTCTTGCATAATTTTTGGACCAGAGAACTGGTCTGAAAAATGAATGGATTCAATCTTGTCAGCATAGTGTGTAAGAAAGTGAAGCATCTGAAATAAAGAAGAGAAAATTATTTTTTTAAAGCAGGTTTGATGCAACTCCCTTTTTTCATAAAGATACTCATTCTTTAATCCTCCTTATTTTTGCACAATATCATGAAGCCTAAAGCTTTACAATGAAACTAGTACCTTTTTTAGTCACACCAATGATCAAAAGTCTTCCTACTGAGTAGCTGAAAATTTATCCAAAATAATGTTCAAAATACAAATGAAAAAAGCAACCATACCCCACCTCCCAAAAAAATAAAGAAAGAAAAATATGAATGAAAGCATGAACATAAAATCTAAACTGTTTTCAGGGATTCTTCACCACCATATTACCCAGAACTTACATTTAGAACTATCTTTCAGCTATCTTATATTTTATCTTATACTATCTTTTTTTTTAAATCTTATACTATCTTATATGATAGTAAGATGTGCTGCTCCCATATACAACCAAGAGAAAGAAAATATAGTTTATTTCTTTATCTATTTGGCTGTGTCGAGTCTTAATTGTTGCATGCAGGATCTCTAGTTCTGGCGTCTGGGATCCAGTTCCCTGGCCAGGGATTGAAGTCAGGCCCCCTGGGGACTGGGAGCACAAAGTCTTAGCCATTGGACCACCAGGGAAATCCCTATACTCATTTTCTATTCTAACTGAAACTTTAAAAAAAAAAGGTACTAAATGACATGGTGATAAGGATTAAAGTTGTAGTCCTTTTTCAAAAAGCCTAAATGCCATTAGCAATCCTAGGGACAACTGATTCTTGGTTTAGAGAGAACTTCTTGGCTAATAAAATTGCCTTTTTGACAAGTGAGTCTAGTGTTTAAGGAAGGTATTTTAATGCTTGTGTGGAAAACGAAAATAAAATGATTAATTTGTACAGTGGAACTTTCAGGGAGACGGCCCTATATATGGCCAAGGTCTGCAAATGTATGTTTCTATCGTCTTTACCTTTGTGTCCATCATTCCGTCTGTGACTTCTCCCATCTCCGACAGGATGGCCAAGGAGTCAGGCAGTCCATACTTCGCTCCTGACTTAGGTTTGTCACTACAAAACTCACTCTAGAGGAAAAAGTGGTTGAAAGTAAGACATGATATTTTATTATGCACAGGAACTTCTTTTCTCAAGAGAATAGGTACTGACCTGTTTCAAAGTGATACAACTGTTCAAGTTATATAATTATCTTATGCCCTGAAGTTGAACTTTTATGTAATAAAGAGACACAGTTTCTACAAATTATTTGAGTTAGAAGAACCTGACATACCAGATCCTGCATCTCTTTCTGTAGTCGCACCAAGGCTTTCCGAGTGCCAACAGCAAACACGTAGGTATCCATGTCTTCATCATTCATAGTTACTTTTATTTGCTTAAAAAAAAAAAAACTCATCTATTAGGTTCTATGATAGGCAGATTTCTAAGACAGCCTCCAAGATTGCTGCCGACTGCCACATCCTCCCCTTGAATACGAGCAGGACTTGGGAATGTGGTATGATTGCTCCCATGATATTGTGTTACTTGGAAGATGGTTCCTAATCAGCTGACTCTGAGTTAATCAAAAGGGACACCACCCCCCACCCCCAGATGGACTGACATAACCAAGGGAGTCCTCAGAAGGGACTGGGCCCTACTTGAAGAAAGACTCAAAGTGTGAAGGGCAATGGGGCGGGGGGGCAGGGGAGGGTGGGGAGGGGGCCGGACCACACGGCAAGTGCCTGAGAATGGCCTCCAGGAGCTACAAATGGTTCAGCAACAACTAGCAGGAAAATAGAAACCTAGAAGCACAGGGAGCTGAATTCTGCCAAAGCCTGAATGGCCCTGGGAAGAGGGGCCTAAGCTCCAGAGGCATGGAAGCTCTGTGCATCACCCCACCCCTACACCTTGCCCCACACCTCTCTTCCATTTGGCTGTTTCTGAACTTCATCCTTTAGAATAAGCTGGTAAGTGTAAAGTGTTTTCCTGAGTTCTGTGAGCTATTCCAGCAAATTATTGACTCTGAAGGGAGGGCTGTCAGAACTTTATAGATTTATAGCTGGGCAATCAGATGTCTGGTGGCCTGATACCTGCAACTGGCATCTGAAGTGTGGGCAATCTTGTGGGTCTGAGACCTTTAACTTGTGGGTCTGGCACTAACTCCAGGTAGACAGCATCAGAATTGAACTGAATTACTGGCCACCACGCTGGCATCTGGAGAGTCAGAACCGGTTGCTAGCATTGGAAACACCCCAGAAGCAAGTTAAACAGTTTTTAATACTCTACATTGGACCAGAGAGATAAAGTGATAAGCCTGAAGAGTCTGGTATGATAAAACATGGTCCCGTTTCTTTTATTAACTCTTTCTTTAAAAGTTTAGTTCAAAATTTACCAGTATATATGAGGATGAAGGAAATGTTAATGGAGGGAGATATGGCAAAGACCTGAGGAGATGGCAGCTGCTAAAGAAAAGGTTTCTACCCTTTGATCACTGAGGGGAAACTACACAAAGTAACACCCTAAGCAGAACCCTCCTGATAACAAGGCTTAAAAATATAAAGAACTTCATGTTTGCTGAGGTTGTTTATCATTGCAGGGAGAAAAATAAAAAAACAAAAAACAACAAAAAAAGGTAAAAGGCTGCCTGGCTCAGAGGAAAAGCAAAGATTAAATCTACCTCAGGAAATAACTAAAAGTGATTAACACAACACAGTAAAGAATGATTTCTACAAAAAAGATGCTGAAGATGCAGCAAAACTTCCTCCTTTGAGTTTTAATTGATGAGACTCTAAAAATGAGTCGATTAAATCATCTGCGACCATATTAGAAAAATTATATAAACAAACAGGTTTGCAACAACAAAAAAAGAGAGCTTTTAAATAACAATTGAGTTTAAGTCCAATAAAAATATACAAAATATTGTATATTACTGATACAGCCCTTATTAACCAGATATTATTTGTAGCTCCTGGGTCACCCCTGCACCCCTAGCTGCAGCTGCACATTGAGTGGAACATGATCTGTCTAAACAGAAAAGGTTCCATTTTGGAGGGGACAAGGGACACGAGTTGTCACAAAGTCCAAGTATAATGCAGGCAAGAAATGGAACAAACTCTAAGATGTGAAGAAGCCAATCTGTACACAGAAAACCAGGGGACGAATACCTACCACTTGATCACTCACTGGCCTCATCATCCGGGCCAGGACATTCAGTAAGTCCTGCCTCTTGAGGAACTAGAAAACAAGAAAAAAGAAACCCAAGAGAACAATCGCAACTTCTACTTGCTGTAAGGAAAAGACCTTAGGAGGGAACTCACATGCTTCATAAAATACACGCTACATTAGCCAGTCAGTAAAAAGACAATACTTATAGTTATTTGCTTGCACAGCTTGCATGATCTTAGCTCCCTGACTAGGGACTGAACCCAGGCCCCCTGCAGTGGAAGCACGGAGCACTAACCACTGGACCACCAGCTAATTCCCCAAAGATGACTTTTAGATCTCACTTTAAGTCAAGCAAGAAGAAACCAAGACACTGAACTTACAGGCTTTGAGAACACGCTGGAAAAAATGATAGGAATACATACACTGCACCGGAAGTTCCCCACTTACCCTCAGCTGAATAAGCATCCCCTCACAGCACACCCGGCCAGAACACCACAGGTTGTAAATGTGCTCATTCTCCTGGTTCAGCTTTCCTGCGCTGGTGGCTTCCTTGCTGGTTCCATCATCCCCTGGGGGTAAAACCACTTACCATGATCCGCTGGAAATGTTGGGCCTAATCACCACACTCTCTTCTACTCTGACCCCAACATGATGGTAACTTTAGGTGAGCAATACTTTGCTATCTTATAGAACTCTCCTTTACACATAGATTACAAGACATGGGCATTATTATTCCTTTTATTTCTTATTGTCGCCATTAAAAAATTATGGACTCTAGCCATTACTTGTGTGTCCTTATCAATTAATGACATCCAGCTTGGAGTATAAATATCTCAAGAATAGGTACAAAATGGAACAAAGTCAATTTAAATGTCTGTCAAAAGTTTTTTAAAAAGAAAAAACAAAAACAAAACCTATGTACTGAATAAAAAATATCATTAATACTAACCAGTCAGCACTCTCACTGTCTCCTTTCAGTTAACTTTATCCAAGTTTGCTTTTTCAGCAGCAAAATAAAAACGGTATTAAGAGTTGTATTTTAGAGCTAGTGTATGTTAAACTGTTACTCAATCGTGTCCGGCTGTTTGTGACCCCATGGACTGCAGCCCACCAGGCTCCTCTGTCCACAGAGTTCTCCGGGCAAGAATACTGGAGTGGGTTGCCATTTCCTTCTCCAATTTTGATAACTAAAAAAAACTCAAATTCTAGTCATTTCCTCTCTTCATTTAATTCATTAAGTGTACCAAAAAATGTGTCCAACCTTATAAGGTAAAGCAGACCGATACACCAACTAAAAACACACCAGAGGAAGTGAAGTGCTTTATTTTTCCTAATTTCCAGGTCAAAAAGTACCGAAAGAGTATACTATTGTGGAGAGCATGGATTTTGGAAGTAGGTTGACTAGGTTCTAATATATCATGGTTGCAACTGAATAGCTTAGACAAGTTTTAACATCTCTGGACTTCAGTTTCCTATTTAGGAAAAGAGAAACTATATCCAACTGACAATTTTGTTCTAAAGATTGAACAAGAAACAATGTATGCAAAGCACTCAGGAAACATAGTACATAGACCCACTAAAGAGCAGAAGACATGGATACTTGCTTACTATCAAAGGGAAATAAAGTGTTTAAAGCCAAACAGGTCAAGGTGGATGAGCCCACCCTACCCCCTACACTGCGCAATGACAGGGCCTCCTCTAAGGCACTCCAGTGTACACCCTGCACGCATGCATGCATGCTAAGTACACCTCTGCAGTGGATCTCAAACCAAAGTGCCTAAAACCTGAAGGAATTGAAGGACTTCTAAAAGATGAATTGAAAGCATTTCACAAGCTACCAAAAATGTCAGAACTCTTTGCTGTTGGCTAGATTTTTATCAACTTGTTTTGGTAACACTGATTACCTCAATTCTCTCTGAAGCTTCATAGCAAATGATGAATAATGAAAGATGAGAAAACTATTTCATAAATGCAATGTATTCATTATGCAAAATCTAACAAAAAAGGGATCCTTGAGAGAGGAAAAAAAGCATCCTCTTCTCAGTGCAGGAAAGCAGTTAGATGCTGATACTGAGAGCAATAAGCAGTTCTTACCACGCAGTTTTGAAGCAGGTGGCTAGACCTGTATTAGCTTAACTTACCTACTAAGGTAAAGTTGCTCTCCAAAAGCTCCCTGTGAGTGTTAAACCAGGCCTGAGCAAGGCGACTGTTTTTATTCTTCCCGATGATATAATTCATGATGTACGCAAGCAGACCAGTCACCATCAAAATCTCTAGATAATAACTCTCCCAGCTGTTCTGGAGGTGTGCAGGAACCTGAGGAAGGACAGTCATTCCATTTAATGTTGCCTGAGGCTTTGAAGGACAAAGTTAACTCATGGGATGAAGGAGAAGGAGAATATCCATACATGGAAGTGGATACTTTAGATAACTGTCACTGAATATGGTTATACTTTGAAAAATAGGCCCATTTCAGTGTTTTAGGTCATTTTTGTAAAAGATTCTTTAAGGAAATCTGAGGATAATCCAACGGGATGAAAAGCCGGAAACTCCTCTGTATTTATCTTGATTCTGAGCCCCATTCCCTAAATAAACCCAAAGTCTATCCTCTTCATTCCTTGGTAAATAAAACTAGGAAGGCTAAAATAAAAACATAGGGGTTTCTTCTCTATGTGCACAGTGTTATCAGAGGAACTGATGTCAAACTCTTTCACCACTCCCAGAATTACATCAACGCCCAGGATTACATCAGCTGCATGTCACTAATTATATTTCTGAGATTAATGACAGGAAGATATTTTGTTTGTCATTTTGGGATTCAAAATCTATATACCTACATCAACAATTGTTATTGGGTCTTTACTTTTGCTAGAAGAAGTATCTGGTTTGTCTTCATAACCTTCAAATTCTTCATCATCATATGGTTCACTCTCCGTATCTCCCTCCTACAAAAACGAGGCACAATCTGTTTCCCCCATAAATGTCACAAGCAATTTTATCTCATTTTTACAGGCAACATTTGTAGAGGAAAAGAGAACATGAAAACAGCAAGTACAGGACACAGAGATATGACATATTTTAAACAAATGACAACTCTCCATGAATTTGAACCCTGGGTTCTAAATGACACAAATTCCACCCACCCACACACCAATACACATCTACCCCACTCCTTCCCCCGTCCAGGCTTTCCATAGAGGTGAAAAATACAATTTATTCTTTGTTGAATATAAAAGGTGGCAAAGAACCACAAACATTTAGAAGAGCTCCACCTGCTGAATAAAAACGAACATACCAGAGAGTAAAGGTCTCCCTACGTGCTAGTTACACCATGTCCCAGCCTTCCAATTTCCCGAGAAATCAGTGAAAAAGCAGCTTTACCTGGGTATCTGCATCTTCAAAGTCTCCTTCTTGGCTTTCATCCTGCCCTTCCAACTCCACAGTAGTCTCATCTTCATCATCTTCAGTGGTGATCACCCGTTGAGGAGATTCAGTGACAGAATCTTCTGCAACATCCTCAAATTCAGCAAAGTCATTATCATCATACTCTACGATGTCTTCTTCATCCTCAAAATCATCAAACTTGGCTTCAGAGACACTCCCAAATATCAAAAGGACAACACAGAAAGCATGGAAGCCTTTCATTGCACCTTAAAAATGAGTAAAAAAAAAGACAAAACCAAAAAACCCTAAATGGACTGCTTTTCTACATATCCTGATCACATTTTGTAAATAGTTAAATCTAAGATTCTCCCACTTTTCTTATTGAATACTACTCATTTCAGGTAGCATTATATAAACAACAATAAGGTGAGGCTCAAGAGGCCTGGGTTCTAGTCTGAGCTCTCCCACTAGTTATCTGTAAAATCTTGGACAAGTCATTTAATTCCTTTAGGTTGGGTTTCCATTTATGCTGTGTATTCAGGAAGCATTTTTTTGCGTGCTTATAAAAAGTTTTATATAGAAACTGGGAAGAGGAATAATAAAAGAATGAGATGCAACTATGTATTAGTTGTAATAAAAATAATACATAAATAGAAAAGCTCTTCAGCATTAAATCAACTTTATATGTGCAAATCATCATCACCATCAAAGCAAATGTTTAAGACACAAAGTGCTACACACTGTCCTAAAGGCTTTACAAAGAGCAACTAATTTAATCCTCTCAACAACCCTCTGAAGGAAGTAGCTTTATTAACAGGCATGTTAATTTCATATAATGGCAAGAAAAATGTGCCAAATGATATGAAATGATATGAAAATATGAAGGATAATGAAATCATCTTACCAAATGTGTAAGATTTTACAAAAAAGGGAAGTACATGTGAGGCAGAGTTTAAATAGTAGCTAGATTTCAATCACCAAATCTATTTAGGCTGTATTTCTAGTCCTCCTCTCTTTTTATCTAAATACCAGCCCTACATCACCAAATGTCTAACAGACATGTCCATTTTGATGCCTTACAAACTTTTTCTGTATAGTATAGTAAATATCAGGTAGTAAATATCATGGGCTTTGTGGGCCAAATACCTATCTCTGTTGCATATTCTTCTTTAAAAAAAAAAAACAAAACCTTTTAAAAATGCAAAAACAATTCTTAGTTTGCAGACTGTACAGACAGCCTGTCTCTCAGGCTGCATTCTGACCCTGCCCAAAAGTCATCTCAAAATCAACAGGTACCTGAATTTCTCTATTTTGATATTAGTATCAATCCCATATTTCTAGTTCTTACTTGTTGAAAAGAGCAAGATACCTAATTTCTCATCTTCTTTTCCCTTTGCAATCTAACCAATCACCAAATTCTGGTGCTTCCTTCTTAGATTCCCAAAGCCACCATGATAACCCAAGTTATCACCACCTACTCAAGAAAAACAGTATTATCCTAAATGGTCTTCCCTGTCTCAACTCTCCCCCTACTTCTCTCTAAAAACTACCATTCTTCTTCTCAGACATGACTATTGTTTTATAAGGATTCAATAACCAACAAAGGCTAACCAGTTCCTGTAGAATAACATAAAAACCCCTCTGGCTTTCACTACTTTTCATAAAATGCTCCTACCAAAGCAAATCAAACATACTGTCAATGAGCACATCACTGTTTCAGATGCTATGTCAAGAGAGGATATGTGTTACAGCATGATATGAAAAATCTGAAACTGGTTAAACCATGCATATATACAAATACAAGCTTACTTTTTGTTCATTAATGAATGAAGTTAGAACCCAACCCATGTTGTTTTAGAAGCAAATACTCAAACAAAAAGGTCTGGAAGGTTACACATACATCCACATATAAATAGTAGCTATATATGATAGGAATATGGGCATTCTGCATGATTTTTCTATTTTTCCAATTTTTCTAAGATGTTTTTGTAATAAAATTCTTTACAAAATAAAAGGATAGTTCTCACACTCAAGAAAAGGCACTGTAATGTGAGGAACAGCTATAGCACAGAGGCAGGAAGCAGCACATTTTAGAAGTCTGCAATGATAGAACACTGGGTTTGCAGACCCAAATGGGATAAAGGAGGCTAAACAGGACAGCACAGGCCGGATCAAGATGACATTGCTGTTGAGTGGCTAAGTTGTGTCTGACTCTCTTGCGACCCCATGGACTGTAGTACACCAGGCTTCTCCCTCCATGGGATTTCCCAGGCAAGGATACTAGAGTGGGTTGTCATTCCATTTTCCAGGGGATCTTCTAAGCTGGGGGGATGAACCTGAGTCTCTTGTGTTGGCAGGCCAATTCTTTACCACTGAGCCACCAGGAAAGCCCAAGAACATGATGGCTCTTATTTAAATACCACACTAAGACATGTGGATAATGAGAATCAACTAAAGGATTTAAGTAACAGAGTGCCACGATCAGATCTGCAATTTAACCCTGACAGCTCATACACAGGTGAATCAGAGAAGGGCACCTGAGGTGGGAAAAACTGGAAGTGGCTAAGATAGATGGAAGATAAAACACGACTGAACCGGCAGTGGTATTGGGAATGAACAGGAAAATAGATTTGACAGGTATTTAAAAATTATATTTGTCAACATATAGGGACTGAACATAAAGAATGTGGGAAAGGAAGATGTTGGGTGATTCCAAGTTTTGGCTTGATTAACAGCTGGACAAAGCTGTCCTTAAGATAAAGAACAACAAAGGAGGGGAAAAAAATTGGGGGGAAGACAATAAATTAAATTTAGTACTGGCTGAAAGGTTTGGAGTGTTTTCAAGCAGTATGTCAGATGATTAACATTTATCTCTTAATTTTCACAATCCCAAAAGGTATTACAACTTATTTTACAAAAGAAGAAAAGGAAGCAGTTTGAAATATACGCCTGGAATTCAGGATATGAGCCTAAGTTGGAAATAAGATGGTGTGAGAATGGATCAGATTCCCAGGGAGTATGAAGAGTTAGATTAAAAAAAAAGGGCCAAAACATCTTGAAACAAATCATAACAGTTAAGAGGTGGGCGTAGTAGGGAGAATTCGAATGCAAAACTAAGGAATGGATGGACAAAAAGAGACTTTGGTTCAAGTGCTATCATATTACAGAAGCCAAAGGAAACAGAGGTTGGTTTCAATTGCAGCAGAAAGTTCAAGTAAAATATGGATCAAAAATTTCCAAATGTTAATGAGGAAGTCGTGATTGGCAACTGCAAGGAAGTGGTGCAGGATGCAGGGAGCTCAGCACTAAGAGTGAACGGGTGGCAAAAGGGAGTATAGACTAATCTCTCAAGGTGCTCTGGCATCATGAATATTCTGTATCTCATATTTACAACACCATAAATTCATAAAGGAAATTGGTTCAATATCAAAGGCTATTGCCCAATATCTTCCAACTCATGGCTGCTCGAGCAATAGTCTTAAAATCTGACGAAGTTCATAAATTTTGAAAGGCACAAGTGATTTGAGAAATGCCACCAAGGATATGTCAATATTCTATCTTTTCCAACATTTGATCTTTGAGGTTAGTACCATGGGCTTCCCTGGTGGCTCAGTGGTAAAGAATCCATCTGCCAATGCAGGAGACATGGGTTCAATCCCTGATCCGGGAAGGTCCCACATGCCTTGGAGTAATTAAGCTAGTGCAGCACCACTATTGAGCCTGTGATCGAGAGACTGGGAACCGCAACTACTGAAGCCCACAGGTCCTGGAGCCTGTGCTTGGCAACAAGAGAAGCCATCGCAATGAGAAGCCCAAGTACCACAACCAGAGACAAGCCCTCCCAGTATCGAAGACCCAGCAGAATCAAAAATAAATAAACAAATAAAATTAAAAGCAGAACAAAACATCAGCTCTACCATTTGCCAGCTGTATGATCTTGGGCTAATTACTTAAATCCCTGTTTCCCAGGTACAAAAAAGGGATGTCCATTCACACCATGCCTCGTAGGGTTACAGTGGATGTGACAGGAGATAGGTGCTTGGCACATGTAAGGCCCGCAATAAATAGCAGTTCCCGTTACTTCCTTCCACTGTGCCTTATGAACACCCTGTAAGATGTAAAAATACTTCATCTTTAGTATTCCCTTATAGATTCGTGTTTGAAACTTTTTCAAATAGAGAAGCAAATACAGGTTAACATTGGCACAGTAAGCCTGACTGCCTGCCTGCCAAAAGGTCTGTGAGTTTCCACTTAGAATGTTTACACCAGAAGCACTTCTAAGATAACTCAGCACTGTAACAGAGCCCCTTTAAGAGTATTTAGGTTAAAATTATCCAAGCCATCTGTGCCTTGGCCTTCAGTCTCAGAAGTCTCTCTGCAGGCACCTGTCAACTCATTTCTCAAATGCACAAACCCTCCTGGAGGAGCAGACCCAAGACTCCCTGGACAGGGCACAGTGGCACTGACAAGTCCTGTCTGATTTCTTCTCCTAGCTTATTCGGCAGTCTCAGCGGTTGGTTTAGTCGCCAAGTCGTCTCCAACTCTTTGCAACCCCATGGAATGTAGCGCCAGGCCCCTCTGTCCATGGGATTTCCCAGGCAAGAATACTGGAGTGGGCTGTGGTTGGGTCAGGACTTAAAAACGAAAGATGACTATTAAGTGTGGAAATCATTCCTTGTTGGCATGTTAAGAGTGGGTCTTTCTGACAATGGCCAGACCCTAAAGCTTGGGAGATCATGGAGACATTCCAGCCTGTCTCCTTCCACACGCTGGATAAAAATGTCTTCTGTTAGAAACCTGCAGAGAAGATTCACCACCGAGGTTGCTGATTCTGTTAAACCAGCTGGGGCTAGTCTCTTCCCCAACACGGAGAATCAGTTCTCTGCTCCATTATTCCTGCTGCACGCTCCAACTTTGCTCTGCGGGTTGGCATTTGCTCAGAGTTCTGGAAGTTGCCCAAAACCGTTAAAGTCACCCCGAACAGCACTCCCAACAGAAAACAGGGACTTGGGGGTGGACAAAGTCTGGTGTGTTCTTAAGAAAATCGGGAAAGGCGAGAAGGAGCGGGGATCGAAGCATGTCACCAAAAAGGTGGACTCAGGGGTTGGACTGGGAATAGGCACCCGGGTAGGCCACGCAACTCAGCGTCACCGCTCGGCCCGGCCCGACCCCACCGACCAGCGCGTCACGGCCCGCGCCCTACCTGCACCGGGGGCTAGAACCCGGCCCACTGCTCCTGCGGCCGCCGCCTCTATCCCGTC